AGAGACTTACGAATAATAACAAACATCTACTAAAATCAAAGAGCACAAATCGTAATAGATAACGAACCCAATCCAGAAATTGAAATCAGGAGAGGAGTTAGACAGGTTGATTAATACAAATACCTTGGAACCTGGATCTCAGACAATAATGACCAAACAACCGAAATAAGAGCCAGGATAGAAATAGCAAGAAATGCGTTTGTAACAATGAAAACAATTCTCTGCAACAAAGACCTTTGATTAGAACTGAGAGTAAGAGCACTGAGTTGCTACGTGTTTTCTATATTGCAATATGGACTTGAAAGCTGGACATTGAAGCTTCTTCTTCTTCTTACGGTGCCTATCCGTTCCGGATGTTGGCGATCAACATGGCTATCCTAACTTTGCTTGCTGCTATTCTGAATAGTCCGGTTGTCGATGTGTTAAACCACTTTCTCAGGTTTTGAAGTCAAGATATTCTTCTTCTCCCTGGTCCTCTCTTTCCAAATACCTTGCCCTGAAGAATGAGTTGCAACAAGCCGTATCTCTGTTCATTCCTCATAACATGGCCAAGATATTCCAGTTTTCGCTCTTTGAATGGTGTTAATAATCTCGCATTCCTTGCCTATTCTACGTAGGACATTGAAGCAAGAACACATAAATAAGTTACAGTCCTTTGAAATGTGGTGTTACAGGAGGATGCTTAGAATATCATGGACACAGAAGAAAACTAACACGGAAGTATTGCGAGAAATGGGCAAAGAATTCGAAATAATAAACACGATAAAAATAAGAAAGTTACAATATCTGGGGCACGTAATGAGGGGACAGCGATATGAACTGCTAAGGCTGATAATACAGGGAAAGATAAGAGGAGGAAAGAGTATAGGAAGAAGGAGAGTGTTGTGGTTGAAGAATTTAAGATACTGGTTGAAATTTCTATAGAACTCTTCAGAGCAGCAGTAGATGATGTTGATAGAGTGATGATGATATCCAACCTCCAATTGGGAGACGGCACTTAAAGAAGCAAAAACACCAATTTTCTTTTACCCATTTTTGAACATTTTAATTATTATGTATGTGTCAAATTTTAATGTACACTCCTCCTTTAATGTACACTTAGATACTTAATTGTATTTTAAAGAAAGTACCTATATACAGTGGGTCCCCCTAACTTGCTACTGTACGACCAGGATAGCAATAGATGAGCTGCGCTCAAACCAGAGGAGGGATGTAGAATTTGTTTATGACTTACCTTACAGGGTTGCCACAGTTCCTACAAATATTGACTATGATCTCTTTGTATATACAATAATGTTTACATGATTCATTGTTTCTTGCAAAATAATTACTGTATAACGAGTTGCATTTAATTATTTAATGTTTGATAACTTTAAATGATTATTTAACAATGTTATTTAATGATAAAATAAATGTATTGTAATGGTTTGAAACTAATTACACTTACCTGAGCATGGTAATTTCCATTGTCTGCCAAGAATACATAAGAATATAATTAATAAAAAGGACGGACTTATAATAAGAAATAGAATTTGAAGGGAAATCAGATCCCCATCGTTGTCATCAGTATCTGTTTCATACTGTGAGAATATTTTCTTTATCAGAATCTTCACCTAGATTAATAATATATGATTATATGACAGCCCAATATAGTGGCTCATGAAATGAAATTACCTCTTGATAGACTGGAAACATGGAAAAACTATTGTTCAGAGCTCTACAGGGAAGAACACATAAATCTAGGCCACACTTCAGCCCTCGAAAACACTGAATACAACCCTGAACCTGAAATTCTGCTGTCCGAGATTGAAGAAGCTGTAACTCACCTCAAGAAGAATAAATCCCCTGGCTGCGATGATATCACGGGAGAGCTCCTTCAGAACATGGGAGACAAAGGATGTTACATAATGTGGAAACTTTGTAATAAAATTTGGAGATGCGAAAAGTGGCCCAGAGAATGGCGCACATCATTGTGCATACCAATCCATAAAAAAGGAACAACTACAAAGTGTAGTAATTATCGTACCATCTCACTGATTTCCCATCCAAGCAAAATATTACTAAGAATCATTAAACGCCGTTTGCAGCAGTACTTAGACAACCAAATTCCCCAAGAACAAGCAGGCTTTGTCAAAGGGAAGGGTACGAGAGAATCCTTAATATGCGGCAGCTCATAGAAAAGGCCCGCGAATTTAAAATTCCAATAATAATCTGTTTTCTAGACTACCAAAAGGCATTTGATTGTGTAAAGTGGGAAGTTCTCTGGACAGTTCTTCATGAGACGGGAGTTCCAGATCATTTGGCAATATTAATTAAAAACTTATACGAAGATAACTCAGTTAAAATAAGAATTGAAAACCAGCAATCTGATACCTTCAAAACCAGCAGAGGTGTACGACAAGGCTGCATACTATCTCCAGACCTGTTCAATTTATATGGAGAATACATAATGAGGAACGCACTCGATGGATGGAGAGGCGGCATCTCCATTGCAGGGAAAAAGATCTCAAACTTAAGATTCGCAGACGATACAACACTGATAGCAACATCTGAAGAGGAGATGTCGAGACTGATAAAGAGAGTAGAAACCGAAAGCAACAAGTGTGGGCTCAAGATTAATAATCAGAAAACAAAAATCATGATTGTGGACCACGCGAATATCCTCCAAACAACAGGCGCCCTAAATCAATTCGAGAAAGTAGACGAGTTCACGTATCTAGGATCTTCCTTAAGCAATGCAGCCTCCTGCCATACGAAAATTCGCAGAAGAATAGGAATGGCCAAGAACGCGATGAGTCGACTGTCAAAAATATGGAAGGACCGCTCTTTGTCCAAAAAACTCAAAATGAGACTGGTACGGACACTCGTTTTTTCAATCTTTAGTTACGGTGCCGAAACATGGACAATAAAATCAGAGGATAGGAAAAGGATTGACGCATTCGAAATGTGGTGCTGGAGACGAATGCTACGCGTCTCGTGGACGGAGCACAGATCCAATCAGTCGATTCTCGAAGAGCTAAACATTCAGACCAGACTCTCCTCTCAGTGTCTTGCAAATGTTTTAAAGTTTTTTGGCCACATTGCGAGAAGAGACAATGACAACTTAGAAAGACTAGTTGTGTCGATCTACCTCTATGAGGAAATGTTGCGGTTTATATAGCGGAGCTTGGTAATTAGTTTTGCCCTTTCTACTGTCGATATACTCCTACTTCATGGGTTGGTTCGCGCGCAGGCTGGTTTAACGGTGACGGCTTGGACTCATCGTTACATGTTGTTGAATATCTTTACAATTATTGGTATTGATTCGTTGTCCATTAGTTTGAGTAGTTCTGCCTGTATATTATCAGGGCACGCCGCTTTGCCATCCTTTTACTGTGATATTACGAAATAAACGTCCTACTTAATATTCTTGGTCGTCGTTCAGATCATTTATCTCTTCTTCTAGCTCAAAGGTGTTATCTCTTCTTCTAGCCCAAAGGTGTTATCTCTTTGGTCTTCAAATAGTTTTTCTAGATATTTTTTCCACGTTCTTATTTTACTCTGTTTGTCCAAGATGACGTTTCCGTCGGAACTAGTTATATTTCCTTTCTGTCTTCGTCTTAGCCCCCTGTGAGTTCTTTAACTTTCCTATATACATTGTGACTATGGTACTTTGACTACAGAGTCTCAATTTCTTCGCATCTTTCCTTTGCTTCTTTTTCTTTCGCCTCTCTGATTTTCATTCTTATCAATATATTTATGATTTTATATTTGTCTTTTGGGTCATTTTTGGCTTCTCTTCTCTCGTCCATTAGTTTCAGTATCTCATCTGTCATCCTTTATTTTTTCTTCATTAATCTATCTGTCTGTAAGTGTTTATTAGGTCGTTTGATCGTGCTTTCCTTTTCTGCAATGTTTTGAGTTTGACTTGAAATACCCCCACCAGTGGAACGTGGTCTGTTCTGCTCCAGGATAAGTCTTGACGGAGATTTCCACGTGTACAGCTTGCAAGGTGGTAACTGGAAGAAAGTGTTGGTGACAACTAGCTCTGAGTCTTCTGCGAATTTTTCTAGGAGGTCTCCTGTCTCGTTTCTGACTCCAGGTTCATGTGCTCCAATGTACTGTGTCTTATCTCCAGCTCCAATCTTGAATTTAAATTCACCATAATGATGAGAACTTCCTGTCGAGAAATGTTCTGTATGATACCCACTATTTGGTTGCCAACAAAATAAACATTTTTTATTATCAATTAATTCTGCCAGAGTGAGTATATTGAGTATGAGTATATTTTGTGTTGTTGATTGAACCTATATTATTAGTAATTACCTAATTACATAGTCTTACATTAAAACATTAGAAAAAAAAATAAACTGTGAATTATCTGAACTATGCAAGTATTTTTGTTTGTCAAAATACATAGTTGTATTCTATCTCTCTAATTGAAGTTTTTGCTACTGTTTGTATGCTTAATTTTCCTGAAATTTACGAAATCTTACCCGTGTAGGGATTAAAAAATGGGAAAAAAGGAGAAATCAGACGGAGACATTTTTCATATATTTTGTTTAATGTGTCTATGAAAAACAAACCTAAAATTTTAGTCAATCTACGTAACATTAAAACTTTTACGCCTTTTTTACCTTGAAGAGTCTTTCATAGTTAGATATTTTATTAAAAACCGAAAAATACCAGACGAACAATATTTAGAGCGCCTTTCGAGAAATGCAAATCGTTAGCCTAGTTTGCAAAGTTGTAGATACACCATTTTATTAAAAATTAATTTTTGGCACAGTGTAACACGGAATAAGTAAATTAATCATTCCTGGAAGGCAGATTTATTTGAACTTCATAAATCATTAAAACACATTTTTATGTTACTATGTCATGTTATACGCTTGCCACTACACCTCTCACTTCTTTCCACACGTCCAGAGAAATATTTAGACAAATCCATAACATTTCTCGTTTGCATCAAATTTTTAATGTAATTATGTATGAATTTCTTTTAATTGTGTTTATTTCAGATGGAGGATCTGATGAGGAAAAATACGTTCAAGGTGAATATCATTTTTTTGTTTTTTTTTTTTGGTTTGGAGTTTTATTTTTGGTTCTTAAATAACTTGCATGCAAATTGAATGAATGATCAAAAATCTATGTGAACGAATGTGGCAACAAAATTGTACTAACAATATTTTTGAAGAGCTGTTCTGTAAAATAAGATTAAACCATTTTTCGCTCATTATCATCTTTAATTTCTAATTAAATTTCATTTTAAATTTGTGTTGCATGTTTATATTCTGTTAATGAGGGGTAGAAGGTTTGAAATAAATATCTTAATTAAACTTGGATCATCCGATCGATTCAAGCATTTAGAATACTGTACAGGGTGGTAAATTGTGGAACACACCTTAAAAAACGGATTGTTATTCCATTAGCCTAATTATTTCACATCAAAAGTCACTAGAAATTCAAATGATAATTTTTTGCAAATGTGACTCCATTTTCAATAGGTAAAAGAAAAAGAAAGGACAACTGGTTTTATTATAACCTGAACGATTGGTTTCGAACTGTACAATTTCGGCTCATCTTCAGGCTCTCGATAAAAGGTTACTTAACTATTAAAAAAGAAGAAATGCTACAGTTGGCTTATGCTTTTAAGTATAAATTATGCCAATACCAAACCTCTTTATATGATATAAGTAATTTGTATTATAAGTATACTTACATAACGGTACAGGGAGAAAGGTTTAAATTAGGGATCTCATTTGCTGAATTCTACCAGAGCAGTGGTGGTGGGGGAACCAAATTACTGCACATATGTGCAAGGGCATTGGCTTTAAGAAAATTCTACAAATAGTAGAAAATAGTGGTTGTATATTTTATGTGACTATTGTATATATTAAATTAATTTTCTTTTATTTTAAAAAACCAAATCAGAATGTTGTAACTGATATATATAGTAATTTTAAACTGTTAACAATTTTTATTCCAAGTGAGAAATTGTAACATATTGTATTTATTGTCCAAATGCTTAAAAGCATAACTGTGCAAAGACCACCGACTTTTACATTTACCACCTTTTAAACTATTAGGGTCATTTATCCTCAATATATTACCATAGTTATATTTATTAACATAGTAGGTAGATATATATATATATATATATATATATCTTTATTTTTTTCTTATTTGTATTATTTGTAAGATGTATACACTATGTATTTCTCATGACGTCTTTCAATAACTAAATTATAATAAAGGTATGATATAGTATTTATTAACATAGTATGTACATTAGCTTAGTAAGGAATAAATATATTATTATTATTTTTATATTATATTAATCATATTTCACTAATTGACATATTTAAATTCTTTAAAAAAAACTTATGTTTATGCTGATTGAGACTGGCTGAATGACAATTGTCCAAGCCAAGAAAAAAAAATGAGAGGTATTAGAATGCTGTACATGTAATATAATTAATTTATTTTACAAGACAATTAAGAAGTTTTGTTAAAATCCTTTATAAAAGGTATATAAAAATGCCTCAAACGGGCTATCACAAATACATTGCAAAACGTTTTCGGATTAAAACAATCCATCATCAGTGCAAACGGTTGTACATGCTAGTAGCCACCAAAATATATGGGTAAAAACCCTTTAAATGTTATAAATTTGAAGTTGTTTTACATTATTAGTATTTCTAATTTGTGATGGTTAAGTTACCGTTGGATAGGTAACATGGCGGCGTATGACTCTACATGAGTAAAATGGTCCTGAGACGAAGTGTCTACGAGGACCTGTTGATAACAACTATGAGTTTTTTATATATATGTATATATATATATATATATATATATATATATATATATATATATATATATAATATATATATATATATATATATGAAGTATTGAGTTGTTATCAACAGGTCCTCGTAGACACTTCGTCTCAGGACCATTTTACTCATGTAGAGTCATGCGCCGCCATGTTACCTATCCAACGGTAACTTAACCATCACAAATTAGAAATACTAATAATGTAAAACAACTTCAAATTTATAACATTTAAAGGGTTTTTACCCATATATTTTGGTGGCTACTAGCATGTACAGTTGCGGTCACGGAATAGTTTACACCTTACTTTTTATATTGTAATACTGTAAAATTGCAGTGTCGTACGGATTTGATAAATGTCAAAGTCAAAAAATTTCAAAACGTCAATGCTTTCGCGAGTGTTCAACAATAAAATAAAAGTATATTAAACTCTTCCAAAATGGTTAGAATACATTTGAATTATGCGCAAAAAGCAAGAGCAATTGCCAAACTCGAAGAAGGTTGGTCACTAAGGCAAGTTGCTGCTGATTTGAACGTGAGTCATATGTGCATATGGAAGATTAAACAAAGATGGGATAATTTTCACTCTATAGCACGGTTGGGCGGTTCAGGAGGGCAGAAGATTTCCACAGATCAACAGGATGAGATGTTGGTAGATTATTTGAGAGAATCTCCTTTTGCCACAGCTCAAAAGGCAAGAGAAGAGGCAGCGTTTCCAGGCAGTATTCGCACTGCACGTCGAAGAATTAAAGCAAGTGGACTGCTAAATTGTGTAGCTGCACGGAAACCTTTTTTGACTGAGGATCACAAGAGGAGACGAGTTGAATTTTGTAATGAATTTATAAACCGCGATGAGAATTTTTGGTCTAGGGTTGTATTTTCCGATGAAAAAGTATTTCAGTCGTATAATAATGGTCGAATAAGAGTTTATAGGCCGAGAAATCATAGGTATGATGAACAGTATACGCATCATTTAAGAAATAGTGGAGGATTCTCTGTCAACGTATGGGGATGGATAAGTGCGAAGGCCCGGGCGTTTGTTATCATGTAGAGGAGAAGTTAACAGGATTATATTACAAACATATTATTGAGCACACAATGTTGCCATCGGTGATCCAGAGATTCCCCAACAACGACTTTATCTTCCAACATGACAATTGCCCGGTGCATACGAGTAGAATTGTTCGAGAATGGCTAGAAGAAACTGATGTTAATGTTCTTCCGTGGCCTTCCCGTAGTGCAGACTTTTACCCCGTCGAAAATGTGTGGGCAGAGTTAGCAAAGAAACTAAATGAAAGAAACCTTAGACCACGGAATAGAATTGAATTATGGGAAGCAATTGAGCAGGCATGGGAAGAGCTTGTTAACTATAACATGAGGGGATTGGTGCTATCTATGAACAGAAGACTGCAAAATTGTATTGACAAGAATGGGGCTTCCACCAAATATTAATTATTATTTATCATTGTTTATCGTTATTTAATATAAAATAGATTTAAAATAAAATGCATATTAAAAAAAAAGACTTCTTTATTTTCGTTATTAAGATCATAATCCATTTTATTCAAAAAACTGTTTTCTATATTTTTCATTTTGTAAAATATTTTGATATTTTAATTTTAATCTACCTATTCTAGCTAGTACACCACTGGCAACGTCACTTTGACGTAAAAGGTGCGTTTAAACGAAGTAAAAATTTAAAAAATGGGCTCCTAGATACGTGAACCTGTAAACTATTCCGTGACCGCAACTGTACAACCGTTTGCACTGATGATGGATTGTTTAATCCGAAACGTTTTGCAATGTGTTTGTGATAGCCCGTTTGAGGCATTTTTATATACCTCTTATAAAGGATTTTAACAAATTTTTTTTGTGATATATGGTATACAGCCAGCTACAGGAACTTAGTTTCCTCATGGGACAATTAGGAAGCTTATGCATGTCATTTATTTCCGACCACAAATTTTATACAACAGACTTAAGTTATCGTCCATTTTTATTAATGACAAAGTAAATTTTTGTTATACTGGTCAATAAAAATATTTTCAATCATGAATTTGTTAGAAGTTTGCGAGGTATTGTATCTCATATTACTTAAACGATTAACACAAGGTTTTCTACCAATTCAATATTTGTGTGTCATCTTCAAACTATTAGGGTCAACTAACCTCAATTCTTTTATTAGGTCATACACGGCCTTCGGAACTGTATAATGATTTGTTCAATTAAAAAGTCAGAAGGTTAAATTGCGTATATATACAAATAACTATTATAGCTACACGTTCTAATCCAAGTTTTGCACTTAAATATTTTAATTTTTGACAATACACAATGGCATGTTAATGGTATAAGATCATTAGTTAGGTTTTAAAAGACTAAAATTCAACAACTGCTGATAACATTACTTGCTCCTGCCCCTGCTCATTAACCAGAATAAAATTGACACGACATTTATTTGATAATATGTGCTATAAATATTTGGTCGTTGGTAAGTCATTTTGTCCATTTGACCAGAATTTAGCCAAATCAAAAAGTGTCGAGGACAAGGAAATTAGTATTTCCACCACCAGAGAAAAAACCCAGTACCTTCTGCTCGATTACATATACAGGCAAAATATCAACAAAAATATCCAAACACATAAAAAAGAAGGGAATAACACCAGATTTCCGAACAAATAACAACCTAGGCAAATATAAAAAAACAACAAGAGCCAAAATAAAAAACACTTGCACAGTGGTGTGTACAAACTTAAATGTGGCGACTGCCCAAAAACTTACATCGCTCAAACTGGTAGAAACTTTAATAAACGAATAGCAGAACATAAAAGGGCTTTCAATAATAGAAAAACAGATTCGACATACGCACTTCACCTTCTAGATCATAATCATTCTTTTAATGACGAATTTAAAATTCTTCACATTCAAAATAAAGGCCTTAAGCTATCTTTGTTAGAATCTATGGAAATCAACAAATTAAAAAATACACATATGATTCTGAACGACCAACTTGAGACAAACAGTTCTCCCCTCCTCAACCTATTTCATTAGAGACTATAAGTGTAAACGCATGCCAAAAGTAGATCACTTGAGAAAGGCAATCAGCCGAAACAGCTGTAGTGATAAGATTATATATTAAATTTTTGTGGAAGTTTTGAAAACAAAGTTTTCAGTATTTAATTGTTACATAAAATGAATTTCCATCAAGTAAAGGTCGAATCCA